TTTAATTTTCCCATGAAATATCATGTAAAGCATCGGGGTTTTTTTAATGCCATACTATAGTCATAGTCAGTCCGAACTGTTGATGTCATGTCTCCGTGTCAATTACCTTATAGTCAAATTATATTCAAACAAAAAGTCAACAGACGAAACCCTGTTTAAATTATACCAAACTGATAGACAACAATCGAGATGAAATTCGCTTGGTGCAATGACAGTGTTCATTTTACTGCGAAATGTGATCAGAAAGAGAAAACAAGATAAGGGTGTTAAGGCGTAGAACACAGAAATATCGCTTTCTAAAAATTCAGTATATACAGTGTGTCCCCAAAAAAGTACCCTCTATAGAAATGTATCCTATTGTTAAGCACAGGATTTTATGCGACTGGTAATTAAAAGTTTAATTCAATTGTGTTTACGCACTCATGTGTTAAGCATAGTGCTCAGGCATTCAAATTATAACAATAGGATAATATCCTGTATAGTGTAAGACCAGCCAGAAATCAATAGACCATACAATGAATACAAAATACACCAAAACAACTGCATCGTTATACAGGGTGTCCCAAAAAAAAGTGACACTACAGGGTGTATCAAAAAAAGCGCAACCTCGGAATTTCCCAAGAAATCGACATTGTTTTAAAGACAAAAGATTTTAGGCGCCTGGGAATTTAAAATAGCATAACTGTCAAAATTACTGCACACGCGAGTGCATAAAGCAAAATTTATGCATTTATTTAATGCACAACAACAGTAATATGATCTATTAGCAATTCGATTTCAATTCCCAGGGGCCTAAAATCTTTTATGCTTAAGAATTATCAACGTGATTTCTTAGGAAATTCTGAGGTTGCGTTTTTATTGATACACCCTGTATAGAAATTATCTCATTGTTCTTATAAGCCGCTCTTAAACGCGCGTGATTACACGCCTGGGAATTTAATGAACTTGTATTTACATTTAAGCATTTTAAAACGTTTTCGCTTTGTCCAAATATTTTAACGCCCAAGTCAAGCAAAACGATTACACTAATAAACGGTTTGCTTTTTTATTTTAAATTCCAGAAGCAGAAGTTTTTGCACCTGTGGGATCAACTTAGTGCTAGGGCATTCAAATTGTAACAATAGGATAATTTCTATAGCGTCACTTTTTTTTGGGACACCCTGTATAAACTGACTAATGAGATTCCCCGTATTTATAGCATCATGCATGCAAAGCATTCTGGTCGGTTAACAGCAATGCGTTCTGGTCGGTTAACAGCAGTGCATTCTGGACGGAGAATCGGAAGTAAAATCTTACTTTCAGACCCCAATACGAATTAGAACTGCCGACTTGCTCGCTTGCTTCAGGCTCGCTCGCTGCGCCAGCAATTAAAAATGCAATACATTTTGACCTTGATAACTTTCGTATTGTTGGTTTTCTCTTTTCGACCGTATACCAGTGGATTTGTCTCACTTTTCTCTTTATTTTGTTAGTAGTTTGAGCCCAAAATATTATATTTTGGAGGTTTTAATGTGCAGTTTTCATAAGCGAAATTGTATTGTTGACAAATCGCTCAAATGCAGTCCGTTTGATCCTTGATAACTTCGGAATTGTTGGTTTTCTCGTTTTCGGCCGTATACCATTGTTTCGTCTCACTTTTCTCCTCATTTTGATAGTATTTTGAGCTCAAAATATTTTATTGTGCACTGGTATTGTAGTGGGTCACTGAAGAGCACGACGCCAGTGTTGGTTACACGATGTTCTTGTTGCTTCCATTCCAAGAAACCACAAGAGTCTTCTTTCGGACAACAGTAAAACAGACGATTTTGATTCGGACCATCTTCCTTGACATTCCGTAGACAACACACCATACCATGTTCACATAACGGTCTCGGACCTTAGAATACATCTCCGCATTGCCAGAACTTTGCAGGGACTCTTTCTCTCAGAACATACGAAGAACGGTCGTCCATAACTTTGCTTCATTGTGTCTTTGACCACACATAGCCTGGTAAATTTCTGACGTGTAGGGCACACGGGGTGAATAGAACCCACTTCCACGAAACACAGCAATAGCTCTCGTATACATATAATAATCTTCTTCAGAGCAAAAGAAATCACAGCTTGGTGTTTCCCCACAGAACCAACATGTACGATTTTTCGAGTCGAAGGAAGTGGCAGCAGCTTTACCATATAGACACTCCATACCTGATGCAGAACTAAGCGTTGTCAAGTGTAGAACTATGCTTGATACAAGACTCTTTTTGAATTTATACAGATGCTTGCATAAAAGTCGTTAACACAAACCACCAATCATAGTAAGCCAACATTGATCCCTCTATTGTATCAGACACGTGGGAGGGACGCTAAAAAATGCCTAGTCAGCAAGTTTTGCCCGATCTTGCCCAATCTTGTCCTCGTGACGCCATTGCATATATTAAGTGAATACACCCCACGTGAGATCCACCAGCTCACGCCACCTCATTCTATGCTAATGATGATGCGCCACCTCATTCTATGCTAATGATGATCCACTGCCTCACGCCACCGCATTCTATGCTAATGATGATGAGCTTCCTCATTCTATGCCAGGGCGTGGAAACGGCAATACAAGTCTTGGAACCATCCGTGATGCGGGCTTTGCGGGGGATAAGACGTTCTCATTGTAAACAAATATGGCGACGCGTATATGACCCATCAGAAGGTATGCTGAAACTATTGCTTTATAAAATATTACTTGTGTAAAATTTATATGTTTTTGTTACTTTTAGCTATTATAAAAAAACTTAAAGATAAGATTTAAGTAACGAAAAACTTTATTTCGGGTGTTATTTTATTTCTGTACTCTGTTCAATTGGGTGTTTAAACAAACTCCAACCTGAAATGTGCACCTTTATCGTGTATATTTTTGTCAATTTTGTTTACTGGCCTTTGTTAAATTCACTTGCAATGGCTCGACATAAGTTACAACATACAAACTGAGCAGAGCCCATGAAAAAGCTATCCATACCCCTACAGTCATTCAGCTTCCTTGCTATTTAGAAGCGGTTGCCCATTAGTTGAAGAAGAATTGCTACTGTATGCGCTTGTTTGCACTTCCTTTCCTGAAAATGGTTACAGTATTAAGGCTAAATAGCAGAGAAATATGACTCAAATCAAAAAGCATGATTTGAGGAATTATATCTATCAGGTAACCCTAGAGGCAACCCATAATAGTGACAGGTCCCGGCAAGGTGAAAGCTGAAAGGATCCCTTAGATAGGTGTACTACAAAACTACATTGACTGAAGATTTGGAAACATTTAGCTAACTTTTGAAGGATTTTCTCACAAACTGTGATTCAGTATCATGGGATTTTACACTTTTCTGGAGAAGTTTTGGCTCTGTTGTTAGTGCCATTTTCTTTCATTGTTTATATATCTTGCTTTTAAACATTGCTCACTTATAAAATCTTTCAATTCCTTAATCTCATCCCATGATACTGAATCACAGTTTGTAAGGCCCCGTTTGCATGATACTGAATCACAGTTTGTAAGGCCCCGTTTACATGAGACCGGGATGAAACCAAACTGGAATGAAAATTGAAATTGTCAACATGTTTACATGATTTTTGTGTTTGTGTTGGTGTTAAAATCACAAAATTTTATTCCCCTTGCCAGGCAATTTTCTTTTTTAGATGGCTTTTGTTAGCATGTGTTGTTCACTTGTTCCAATGTCAAGGTTACATCCGATACCGGTCTGAAATGTATTTGTGTTTACGTTCATTCTGGTCTGAATTCATGCCGGTCTGAAGTCAGTCGGCTTGGTCCAGCAGGCAGAATGACTTGAGACTGGTCTGAGTTATTTATGTCCCGGTTGTTTCATGTAAACATCTATTATAAATAATATTATGACCGAAATGAAATGGTCCCGGTTTGCCTTCGTTCTGGTCTCATATAAACGGGACCTAATAAAATCCTTCAAAAGTTGGCTAAATTTTTCCATAACTTCAGTCAATATAGTTTTGTAGTAAAACCTTGCCAAGACTGGTCACTATTATGGGTTGCCTGATAGATATAATTCCTCAAATCATGATTTTTGAAGTTAATTTGATAGACATTTCAATTGCATGGATTATTGGGTCATATTTCTCTGCTATTTAGCCTTAATATTGTAGCCATTTTCAGGAAAGAAAGTGCACACAAGCGCATAGAATAGCAATTCTTCTTCAACTAATGGCCAACCGCTTCTAAATAGCAAGGAAGCTGAATAACGTAGGGGTATGGATAGCTTTTTCATGGGCTCTGCTCAGTTTGTATGTTGTAACTTATGACGAGCCATTGCAAGTGAATTTCAGCAACCAAAAAAAAATAAATTTCAGTAAACAAAGGCCAGTAAACAAAATTGACAAAAATATACACGACAAAGTTGCACATTTCAGGCTGGAGTTTGATACTATTGCAACTGTCAATTCGACATAGAACTTTGAAAGGTTCAAAACCTATCTGTCTTATGTTTGCTCACTCTATAGTTTTGTCTACGCAAAGATTTTGATCATAACTTCATAACAAATTATAATTTAGGTTTTGGAAAATCATTGGTTTTTTTATCAGGAAGCAGTGCGCGCTAACACTCTCTTACAACATTTCGACGGCCATTTTTAAACACCAAATTAAACAGAGTACAGAAATAAAATAACACCCGAAATAAAGTTTTTGTTACTTAAATCTTATCTTCAAGTTTCTTACAATAGCTAAAAGAAACAAAAACATATAAATTTTACACAAGTAATATTTTATAAAGCAATAGTCTCAGCATACCTTCTGATGGGTCATATACGCGTCGCCATATTTGTTTACAATTAGAACGTCTTACCCCCCAGCAAAGCCCGCATCACGGATGGTCCCAAGACTTGTATTGCCGTTTCCAGGCCTTCTCTCGAATCCTTTTGCGGCTGATAATTTTAGCAAAAATAAAACAAAAGTTATTCCGAATAAGGAGTGCATAATATTAACATACAATTTATTAAAACTGTATATTTCGAATCTAAATCAGATTCATCTTCAGCAGTGTTTTGCAAGATATGATTTGCAATATCTTGCAAAACACTGCTGAAGATGAATCTGATTTAGATTCAGGCCTTCTCTCCCTTCGCCCTGTTATATGCTAATGACGATGCGCCACCTCAAAAATCCAGCCCGATCAACCCCTATATTACCTACATTGTACTTAAATATGTAGTGTATATTATGTAGTGTAGTCACAGAATAGGGTACACAGAAGACAGACTTCTTGGTTTTTCCTATGATTTTCCTTTGATTTTAGCGTAACCGTAATTCGTCATCAAAATGCTGACGCCATGGTCCTAGCCAGTGAGCGTTTGAGAAGCATTCACCCCCTTATAATATCCAAAATGGCGGACATTCAGGGCAGAGTTGCAAAAAAGCTGCGGGCACGCGGGCATTACCCGCGAGGAAGGTTTACCATGGGCGAGGTTAGTGAGGAGGGTTTAGTGGTCAATGGTCGGAAAAACAAAAAAAGTAAAACAAATAAATCGTAGTTGAATAGGCAGTTGAGGCTGACAAGTTGTGGTGGTACTATTGTGATTTAGTATTTTTGCACAAGTGAAGATAACAAATCCTACACGTTGATTGGTCAAATTTGACGTAATAAGCTGTTTTAGTATAAATTGTGCATATCGAATGCTTTCGCACGTTCTGATTGGCTAGCTGACTAGTAAATCTGAGGCATTATTCGGCAAATTTGGTTTCAAAATCGACAAAATATTGAAAAAATCGTCCCCAGAAAACAAAAGAAACACAAAATGTTGTATTTAACTTGAAAGGTAGGATTCCTTTATTTTACTGTGTCAAACATATTCACGGACAATTTAAAACTTATTTAAATTTCGGATCGGATCGGATTGATAAAGTTGTTACGTAGTCGGATCGGACTTCGATATCCGAAATAAAATGAACTAATTATCCACGCATTATCGCAAGAATTAATTATCCATGCATTTATCAAAGCATTATCGCGGTTGTCGCTGCATTACTCGTTTGATACTTCAATTGGACGTCACTTTGTCAGCTTCTTGACATGTATTTCTTGCTTTTATATTGATTTGGTTAAGAGCAGATGTCAGCCAAATTCATACAACAGACGGCAACACACTGAAAATCGATTTTGCTCATACTTTTATGTTTCGTCGTGTATTATATCCTAATTATCGTGGCATAGTTTATTCAATTCAATTCAATTCAATTTATTAAATTGCCACAAAAAAGAAATTATTCACAAGACAAACATAATGAAAGATGAATGTGACGAGGAAGCCCAAGTAGAAACCATAAGGCTTCCTCATTTATAAAAGTATTACAATAGTTTATTCACAGCTGTGCTATAGTAGTCAGATAGACTTGACTTAACTAAATTTGGCATATCTGGGTTTTAGAGTATTAAAACCCAAGTATTAAAAACATGTTATAGTCGAGAGAATAACAAGTTTCTTAATTTGAATTGGAATTGTTGAAGAGTTGGTGCATTACGGATATCGTTACTCGGCGTATTAAAAAAACTTGAACCTTGATAGGACACAGAGAATTGACGTAACCTAGTTCTACACAATGGTACATATAACAATTCAGCTGTACGCAAGCCATAACCATGCACTTGTTTTACTCGTAACACCAGGTTGTCAAAGTTTCTAGGAAGCCTATTATTTATGTATATAGAAACATGAATTTCCCCAGATTGTAAAAATAAATATCTTTGAACTTAAATATTTGATTATCTTTAAATAATGGTCAGTGTGGGCATCAAATTATTTGTCAAAATACGATTTTGTTTTTGAGAAATATTTGTTTTAGTCGGAGTGGGTAAATATACCAATTAGAAGTGCTCCAGATTGACCAACTTAATCTAACCTTGTAACTTGTTGAAGTTTAAGAGATTGACGGTTGTTTCATCCATTATTTGCCAGGTTAAAGGCATTGTTTGCGGTGTCACTTTACGACTACCATAATAGTTTGTATAGCGTGACCAACAGAATTGATATGAAATATTGAATTCAGTGCAGTTCCTTAACACTTCGCTTCTGGTAAAATTCTTGTGATTGTATTCTTTGTATCGCCAGTCATTCTTTTAAATCAGAAGTGAACCATTTTTGCCACAAAGTAACTTAATAGTGTGAATCATGTGCAATGACATTTTGTTGTTTATATTAATACAATATTATGAATAATTGAATATGTAGTATTATTATATATCAATAGTCAAAGTCGCATTTTTCTAGTGTTTTATTGGTTGAGAGCATATCACGTGAGAGTGACGAAATTAGGCTGTCTCCCTCGCAACAGCGCGAGAGGGAGATAATACGTTATCGACCGGCGAATAACAAAAAAAATCACGTGCGCCATCACGTGAAGATGCGACCTTTGGACATGCCTAGTACGTAATTAAAACTTTCGCTTTAAGTAACTGCAGTGTAACCAGTGTTTAATATAACGTTTTAACAATAAAATATTTCATGTATTTACGTTCATTTGTTCTTTAATTTGTTGTTTCTTTGACTATTGATATATAATAAAACACTTATTTACTGAGACCTCGGGAAAGCAGTGTGTTTTGTGGACCCTCGACCGTTGATGTTTCCCTCGGCTTCGCCTCGGGCAACATCGACGGTCTCGGGTCCACAAAACACACTGTTTCCCGCGGCCTCAGTAAATAAGTGATAAATGATACATGCTTCCAGGTGGCGGATACGAGATATCGGATAATACTTTCTATTAAGTCTACTGAGCGGTTTCAGCTGATAATTTTATGATGGACAAAACCGACAATGTATGTACGGCTGCGCGTAATATATTAGTAAACTTATAAATTGCATGTACACTTCTTAACAAAGTTTCAGACGAGGTCAACGTATGGCTTCTTAATCTTGCGTTTGCCTTTGATGCCAGAAGTGTCTAGTTCGAAAAAGGAACAGATATCTTGTAGCACCAAAATTGAAAATCTGTCGAGCTTATTGCGTGAAGCATAGTCACAAAGATTATATGTGTCATACATTATTGGATGGCGAGAGGAAACTGCATTAAGGACCTTAAAATGTAAATCTTGTATTAATTTTTCTGTACTATATATCCTTCTGGGATGTAGTTGAGACGCCAGCAGCAGCCTTCCTCCACTTTGCTCTTTCACGCGAATAGAAACTGGCGATTTGCTGTGCCGTCAGATATTCGGTAGCTGTGAACATAGGCTCGCCAGTGGAGAGCCTTGCCCTCTTCATCGTTCTTGAAACCGACACAGGATCAGCCTTTTGACCAGTCTGCTCACCGACTTGGTAAGTATCTAGTAAATATGTCTTTTGTTTCTCCGATAGTCGTTTGTACTCCTTGGTACTTTTAAGGGCCCAGCCCATATTCAGAATCGGCGTAGCTACAACGTCAACAGGAATGTCTTCACAGATCTGTGGTACATCACAAGTTGCTCCTTGTTCAAGCTTTGATGCGTACATAATTATTGCCTTAACAAATAAAGTTTCGCACTCTAGAGCGTACTTGTGCTTCCCACAGTCGAGGTGGTTTTGAAGTGAGGAATGTCGCTGAAAGGACATGACGCAGCCTTCCTCAGAACAAAAGAATAAGCTCTCAGCATTTGGGTTGTCTTCATCTATAGCGTCCTCTCATGCAGAGTCCAACTGTTCAGGCACGGTGGTTTCTTTGGATTGTCGTCTTGTCATGATGTTAGTAAATGAAACTGAAGCGATATGGGCGCTCACTTCATGTGGATCTTTGAGTGTTGGTGGAAGATAATCTTTGGGCACGCTAAAATCGTCCCATAACTTAAGTTTGCCAGGTCCAATACCATAGGGTCTCCATACTCTGATCCCTTCTTTGCTGAATTTCATGTTGTTAAGGAAGCTGATCCCTTCCCATTTTACAGGAAAAGGCACTTCATCATTGGTTTTAATTGTAGCCGCTTTGCGGTCGCAAGACCCTTTTCCTCCCTGTGGGTCAGAGAAATCCATGGATAGCTTCATGTTGTGCTTGGTAGCGATTTGGTTGACAGAGAGCAGTACTTCAGCGGAGTGGTAACACCCGGTGTTATCTTGTCTGAGAAAGAGGGTTGTTATTTCTGGAGCAATCGACTTTATTTGATGGAAAACATCGTCAATGATGGCTAACACTGTGCTGCTGACCTGGGTGCACTTTTCAAATAGATGTACAAAAGTAACCATTTCCAAATTTCCCTCCTCGCTTCTTCGCATATCCACTGTTATGAGCCAGCTGATACCACGTTTTCCAAACCAATCACTCTGTGCCTCGCGGAACTTTCTGGGCAGAAACTTCATGGCCCAATCGAGAACCAAAAGTGCAGAGAGTGTACCAAGATTTTTTAAGATATCTAACCTTGCTTGGCCTTGATTAATGGAGCGGAGAATATGAGCTTTCCATGCGCCGATTTTGTTCTTTGATTGCTCGAATTGATACTTTATTTGGTCTTTTTCAGCTCCATCCTCAAGCTTTCTAACACTGAACTCACCTATTCATATAAACATTCAAGAACATGTCATTAGCATCATGATTATCGTGATCATCTGATCACCATGACCACCATCATCATTTTCATTCCTACCTTAAGGTTGGATTCATAATTACAGATAAATTGTCCACAACCTTGACAAACACTAAAACTCAAATTACCTAATAATATTTACAAAATTGCTATTATTACCTCAGTGACCACATTGGGGAATATATTACAACGGTCACACTGTTCTTTATGGTCATGATCACATTGGGAAATGTAGTCTTTGTCGCCGGGACAGCTCAGAACGTACTTCTTACAGTGATCAGGTACTGAGAAATTCTTACAGTGATCAGGTACAGTATGAAGTGAACCGATCCGTCGTGTGTGTGTGGGGGGTGGAGGTTGGGGGTGGGGTAAAGCATATATAATTTATAAGAAATAAAATGTTTATTGTTCTCGTAGTTTATCGTCTAACTTGTAGCTGTTTAATGTTACCCTTACTACATAAAGTGTCCAATATTATTCTATCTATTATCCCTGTCATTAAAAACCAAACAGTAGTTCCGATTAATGATTATTAAATACCTCCGTGCTTTGTTCGAAATCATTATTAAGTGATGCAAACCAAATTCTCCACCCTCAGGGAATTCCGAAAGTAGGAGAGTTGCCGAAAAAAGTATCGAATATGACAAGATCTTAGTGTGAAGGGTACATTACCTTGTAATCAGTTTTTAGATATCTTTTGCCTTTTTCAACTTCTCATTCTGCTTCTTTGCCCACGTGAGTCCTTTCCCACATTCATCTCCTAGCTTCTCAATGATCTCTTGCAGTTCTTCAAACGCTTTAGCTCCTTCTGCAGAAAAGTTGTCGAGACCCTGTAGCGATTTTCGTACGGACGCTAAACACACATTCAATATACGGCATAAGGTACTTGTACTCATTGGAGAAAAGCCAGACTCGTTGCAATGACTTTAGTACTGTTTCACAATTTGGGCAGGAATCATTGTTCTGATATTTGGTACTTTTACTTGAACGTTTGAGGACAGTTTAAGGGACTTCTCTCCAAAGGGTAAATCTTGAACGATATGCGCACTTGTAATGAAAGACAGGAAGTGGTCAAGTTTTTCCGGTAGAACATGTATCCGGGCAGATGAATGGACAGGAACAACTGAACCTCTACCATGCAAAAGACGATGATGTCTGGCAATATTATAACGATATCTGGATATGTCTGGTATACATTTTTGTAGATCTTTGTACGATACCTTATCTGCAATGATCGACAGAATCTGTCTGCGCGTACTCCAATGACTGGCATTGTTGTAGCATTAAGTAAGTGCTTCCAATAGGGTGGAATCGACATTGTTGCAAGCTCTGTGGTCATTTACTACTATATCTAGAAGATGTTGGTGGTCGCGAGGAGCAATTTCTTCAAGGCATGCGTCGACAACTTGTCTTGCCTTTCTAGTGTGTAGACGTTTTGTTCTCTCTGACGCTGAATCCCATGACGTCACCAAGGATTGGGCTTACGTCTCGTGAAGCTAAAAATGCATTTAGGTGGTCTCTTGCAGTAGTCTCGCAGAATTTTTCTTCTTCCTCTGTGAAGGATATAGATAGCGCTTCTGACGGTTGATAAATGGAGACAGGTGTATCCACTTGTAATTTAGTGATGTGTGCATTTAATTGTGTCTTAATCTTTGCTTCTTTATCCATCTATAAATAGAACAGATCTAGTTTCAACAACGACTAACATCTGATCACATTACCCTTTCAAGGTAGCCCATGGAATAAATATTTGAAATCAAGCGTGCACACTCATCAACTATTACAAATAATAAACCGCACGGCTGATTATCTAATCGGCTGATATACTGGAAGATTACCGTGTTTGTGTAAGTGAATAAAGACATGCTCACGCACAGTTGTTCAAAAATACTTATAAAAATACTTTTGGAGCTGAATAGCACTCATAAAGCAAGAGAATCACTAAGGCCTAAAAAAATACCTGTGGTTCCAGTTTCATATCGCAAAAAAATTAGGGTCGGTAGGTCGGAAATAATTTTTTTTCAATATTTTTTTCATGGTTTTTTCAACAATTAGTGTGACAACGTACAGACGCCATTTTGGCAGCAGCCGGCATACACCCAAAGAAAATAGGTCGCACGGTCAATTAGCCTTTCTCACGCTGACGAATATCCGCCATTTTTGGGTGGCATCTAATTTCCTTAACCAATGCAGACAATTAAAACAATGTGAAAAGCAATTTTTTAAAATAAACTAACCATTTACCGAGCAAATTTACCATCACTCGTCCAAAAAACTATAAAAAGTCGCTGTTTTGTGGACTTATCTCGCAGACTTCGGCTGAAAAGCCACCGAAAAATGGCGGCGTGAGAAAGGCTAATTGCGTTGAAAAACTAATAGGGTCGGCAGAAAAAATAGGGTCGGTCGGGAACCGGAACCACAGGTATTTTTTTAGGCCTACGCTTGCTTTTCTTGTGTTCTACAGCTCCCATGCAGCGTGTGTCAATCAGCTAGCACACTCACAATGTGAAGATTTTCAAAATCCATTACGACATGTGATACATCCTCATTTAGCTCCCGATTCAACTTCTTTTCGTAATTAGTGCACATTCCTAAAATGAAAAGTACAGCATATTTGTGCTCAGTGTTGGTTATGTTTCAAAATTCAGATCACTGAATATATGACTTTTGCGGATACTCACCAGAGCCAACTTGGATAAGTTTCCCGCTGGCATTTAAAAGTATTTCAGATATGCGTTTACCGACACCTCTGTCTGCCCTGGGTAGCTTTCCTTTGTGTCGAGATACCTCTTTTGGTATTCTACATCTCGTATTGGAGCCCCGACTCCACCCAACACCAAGCATAGAACGATGGTTTGGACAAATAGTAATCTCTTCTATGTTATGTGGTGTTTTAAACATACCAGCACGAGACAGTATTAACTCCACTTCATTTTGAGGGCCAGAAAACTTACAACATCGTAGGTGACTACTGATGTCCTTTTTACATGAAAGTATAGGTATCACCTGAGTGGCATGTGTACGGTCTTTACGATCAAAGCCACAGAATCCGCCAACAGTGGCCTTAAGGGAACAGCAAATCTCCATAGCGAGAGAGCATTGACGTCATAGCGTCATAGCATTGACGACATAACGGTCATAGCGTTTGTTGTGAAATCACAGTGATGAGTGTTACCGGTTAGCCCGTTTTACAGGCGGGCTGGCGCGCCAAAATAAAGCTCCCGGAATCAGCGCTATAAATAGTGTAGTATAAATATATGATCCTGTGAAATTATACAAGTTTCATGGCCACAACCCACGAAGACGCTGACAAAGACCTTTTATTAAGATTGTATTCTGTCGGGAAAATGTTATATACAACATTATATTCACAAGAACAGAACAATAATAGTCAGCCTGGTTAAGCGAGCGGCGAGCCACAATATTAACAACAACAATGACAATGTCAACGCTTGTCAATCAAGTGTCTTGCAAGAAATTGAAGTTTGAACAAGTTATGAAAGATTGAAAGTTACGAAAATATTTCGCTTCGGATATAAAACATTGATTTATCATGCAAAGAATACAATTACATGAATTTTACAAGAAGAAAATGCGAAGGAACTGGAATCAGCTCAATTTTTCATACAATTTTGGTGGTCACGCGACGCTACACACTACTATGATTCATGGACTCAGTCGTAAAGTGACACAGGAAACAATGCCTTTAACCTGGCAAATAATGGATGAAACAACCGTTAATCTCTTAAACTTACAAGGTTACAGCAAATATTTCAGTTTTAAGAATGTTATCTATCGGTAAACACGAATGAATTTATAGCCCACCAGATGCCGCCATGTCATTATTTTAGTACAAAACTCAAATCTTTCATAATGATAGTGAGTCAAGTATATATGACAACAAAAACAAATATCATATTTTCGAATCCAACGGTTAAATATTTTCGTTACACGAAGTCGATTAAGTTGGTCAATCTGGAGCACTTCTAATTAGTATATTTACCCACTCCGACTAAAACAAATATTTCTCAAAAACAAAATCGTATTTTGACAAATAAACTATGCCACGATAATTAGAATATAATACACGACAAAACATAAAAGTATGAGCAAAATCGATTTTTAGAGTGTTGCCATAAATTTTCGAATTTGTCTGATGCTTGTTGACATTCGCTCTTAAATATTTCAACTGGAATGAGAAATTTATTTTATTAAAGAATTCTCCGGATCGGATCGGATTTTAAACATCAGGCAATTGTCGGTTTATAAACGTCCAATCCGATCCGATGCACACCTCTAGCATGTACCGCTGAGCTTTTTATTACAGATTCAGAAACCATCACATTTTAAAGATTATCTTGAGTCCATGACGTTATTTTTTATATTTTTTTTTATATTCAATATATCATATAAAATGTAGACGTAGTAGGTAAGGACTGTCCAATTTGTCTAAAGTATAAATCTATTACGGCAAATTATATATTAGAATCATGTACTGCATTTAACGACACATCTCGTTTGAATATTATGCTTTAAGAATCAGTTAAGTTTATATGCTCTAACTAGTATATTGCTATTTGATGAAGCCATATTTTAGTATTTATTTAATTTATTTTGAGGAAGGTTTGAAAACTTTAAATTTTACCCGGAGGAAATTTGAACAGGTTTTGTAACTCTGATGCAGGGGGAAATGCCTCTCAAACGCGCACTGGCTAGACCATGGCGTCAGCATTTTGATGATGAATCATGGCGTGGCAGCGGTTACTCGAGTCGACCTGGCGTGCCTTATTCTGTGGTGTAGTGTCTCTGATGTAAATATGTTGTTGTTATTTTTTTATGAATACCCACGCCCCCTTGTAAATCAGCCTTCTGCTGTAGGGGATAGCGTGGTAAAATAAAGTTTTCCCTACCTACCTACCTTGATTTCAATCTTCCCATCACACCGCGCGCGCTCACTTTTATTCAGGAAACTTCGTATAAGTTAACCCGGAGCCAACGGCGCGGAGCGCCGTTCCGGGCGTTAGCCCGGGGCGAGGGTACTAATTCCGCCCGGCTATTTATTATTATTATTATTATTCATCTTATTTAAAAACGGTAGCCCTTCAGGTTAAACTGCTTTTCAAGGGGCTGTTAAAATATTTACAAATATGAAAAATCTATTACATACTAAATATATATAAAAAGAAAGCCCAGTGAACACTATATATAACTTAGATTGAATCACATATGTAACTAGAAAAAGTATGTTATGCTAACCCTCCCAGACCCAAAAATTACTCATTCGAGTCAAAATCCGCCCCACTAGTGGTTGTCACACACTTTTCTTCTCCAAATTGGTGAATTAGTTGTTGACTAAGGTTTTGAAGTTACTTATGGATAGCTCATTATATGTAGCTGTTAGCAACATCATTTGGAAGATTGTTCCATGATGCAGCACCTCGATATGAAAACGTTTTCTTCATGAAGTTTAAAGATATTGGTCATCAATTCTGGCAGTTGGCCTTGTAACGCCTTAAATATCATTATCATTTCTCTTTTCTTAATGGACCATTTGCATTATTAGACTAAATTTTGATCTAGACAAATATTTCATCACAGTTTGAAAGAGCATCACAAAATTAGTAATATTCCAAAGTTTCGTTGCGGAATGTTGTAAAATGCGGAAAATATAGCCTTGCGAAATTTGCAATTTTCAGTCATTTTAGATTACAAACGGGAAATTGATGCCCCAACACCCGATTGGGCTGTCAATTTCCCCTGCGTAATACAAAATGACTGAAAAACGGCAAACTTCGCATGGCTATATTATCCGCATTTTACAACATTTTGCAACGAAACTTTGGAATATTACTAATTTTGTGATGCTCTTTCAAGCTGTGATGGAATTTTTATCTAGATCAAAATTTAGTCTATAATGCAAATGGTCCATTAAGAGTCGTTTCAATTGGTTCCCAGTGTAAGATATTAAATATATCTTTCGATCTTACTTCGTAAGTGGACCCAATTACACCCGGGAAAAGGAAAGCATTATAGGGAAGTCTAAAGTTCATCAAATGTCGCGGGCGCGTGACTATGGTTCATTGGTGGACCTCCTCACTGATTTCAAAAATATGGCTGTTTGCCAGGAGGGGGTAAGCACACTGAGGATATTAAATCATTAAAGCATAGTTTCAATTTTCAAACGCATATATTTGGACAATGAGCTTTGAAGCAATTTTTGCTTGAAAAATTGAGAAGAATTGATTTACTGTGGAAAATCATGAAATATGGGCAGGTTTACTTCGAATGTTTATGAATTTTGTTGCTTTTGCGTAAAACATGTTGTTGATTTATTGCGTAAAACAAGAACTGCTTTCCTTTTCAATGAAGCTGTACGTTTTCTAAATTACCCTGTTTAATTTAAGAAAAAAAGGTAAAATGTAAAGGAGAGCAAATTAATTTGAAGACTTAACTGAAATTACTCAACAATTTGAACTTTCAAGTAAAAACAGTTTATCGCCAAAAGCAGTTTAGTTATTAAAATAAACATTTAAAAACATTTTACGAAGCAATTCAGGTCAAATTTTACATTAAATCAAAGTTCACAAAACCCAGAACAACATACATACAGCTACCTCCTCCGCAGGCCATACAGCCCGTAATGAGTATGCCCGTTCGCAGGTTGAAATTTGAAAGTTGAAACGAAGGCTTGCGTAACTGTAAGGCCTGCTGAATAACATGTCGACTACTTGGCTTATAGTGTCGATTACTCGGTTGGATCAAATTTCTTCAAAAATATGGCACATCGTCTGCCAATCTTTAGCAATCCCGTTTTGCGAGTATTTTCTAAATACATCTTGGCAGTTATGGCTGATAAAAGCGACGAGGAGATTCAAATAATGGAGGGTTTTACAAGCACAAGCGACAGTGATAATCAGTAGACGTTGTGAATCTATCATTTGGCCAAATGGGATGTTTTGACTATATACACAAGCATTTATACAGGGTGTATCAAAAAAAGCGCAATCCTCGACTGAAATGTAAATTGCTAAACAAATAATAGACGAAAACGTTAAAGTTTACATTCATTTTAAAGCGTAGCCATTCAGCTTTCTAACAGTGGGTTGTTTCTTAAATTTGACTCATTGGTTCGCGGGTAATAATACTTTACGTTATTGCGATTGGAGATTAAAAAAATTGAGATGGAATAACAAATCGTTCTCATGAAAATAACTGATTTTTTCATTAAAACAAAAAAATGTTGCATTTTAATAAATGGATTGTAACAATAAGTATAATTACGGCTTTTCTTCCACTATTTTTAACACAGTTTGAAACTTCAAATGCGATATAATTTTGGCTTGGACCATCTAAGCTGACTGACATCAACTTGCTATAATTTCTGTTTACATTACATCGCAATTCGATGACACTCTGGCTCAGACACCAGAATGTTTTGATTCTATGATTTTTAGCATTCGTTTAGGATTTTCAAACAACCTGGTCTCTTTTAAAATACTTTTAATTTGTTCTTACGTGGTTTTCCAGATGTAGTGACGACAACATTAAAGTTTAAAGAAGAAAATTCTAACATTTAAACCGACTAAACAATAACATAGTAAACTTGCATAATTAAACAGCAACTAAAAATGATAGGTTTTACTAAATCTTTTCCTGTGCAATTATTACTAGCATTGGAGACAAGGATAATAGTTTGTTTGAAAGAGAAAAGAACAGGCTTTGAAGTAAGCCTAAAAGCGTTTAACTAGAAATAGTATTTCGAAAGTTATTAAGCACAAAAGATGAATTGCGTTTATTTTGATACACCTTGTATAGTTACACTGTATAAAAGACAAATATAAATAGAATAAATTTCGTGGATAAACGGTCGCATGCCTGACATACGACGTGTTACATAAAAGCGCTGCGTGTTTGTAATATGCAAATTATAAACTGATATTTATCTGCTTCTCTTTATAAATCATTGTATGCTTGTTTGTTCAGTGTTCACTGTTTTTATGTATATGGCGGATACGAAAAGCGGTCTATATCAGAAGTAGTTAAAGACTTTAATAATATTGTTCTGGTAAAACGATATATAAATATAATTTGGTTTGTGCCTCCCGCCATTTTGGAAAATTAGTCCGCAGGCCTTTCCGTTCGTTTCGCACCAATTTTATTTTTTTGAAAGGCCTGCGGAGGAGGTAGTACATACAGTACATATTTTGGAAATTCATTGTTATATAGTAAAAAGCAATAAATCTATTTTTGCCGTGTTGTACAAAAGTATATAAATAAAAGTATAAAAATTAAAAATTATCGTGTTGCCATGGCAACACTGACGTAAACGCGAGCCTGCGTTCAGTGTTGATCAATTACTAATACTTAATGTTAAATCAATATGTGGAAAATATAGGCGAGCGGTTGCTGCATGCATGTATATCTGGTTTGTAAATACTTAAAGAGAGGCTCTGCGCAGAAGAGAGACTGCACACTGCTCTAATTCTTTCGGTCACTTTCATTTGATCTTATCCGAGAGTCGGCCTCAACAGCCTTTGATTAGTTCATTTAAAATATACGAAATGATCAGCTTTTAAAGTAATTATAAAGCAAAAAATACCTCAATATTTAAATAATATCTTCGTTAACGTCGGGGCCTTTGCTCCCTTCTTTTTGCAATTCTTTGCTGTTTTTCTGAAAAAAAATCTTGCAAAAATGAAATATATTTGCAAGAAATCATAAAAAAAAAGTTTGCTAACTATTTTGCTGTCGTCGTGCAGTCGTTACAATGCAAATTTTAAATTGGACCAATCAGTGTTCGCTATTTATGACAGCTATATTTTGAGAGTGTTCGCTATTTATCCGCTATATTTTGAGATTAGTGAGGATGACCACCCACGCACAGTAACCCACGCCCACTATTATATTGATAAATTTGATTTCGCTAATGCTTTCCTATCCCCGGGCGGAACCGCGCCGTTGGCTCGGAGATAATATTTTTGGCGATGGTTCGCGCTGCAACTCCCCCAGTAGGGAATTCTAGAGAATCCTGACTGAGAATTCTTCAGCGTGGAAGTGTAAAGAATAAAACTCAGAAACTAAACTAAATACCAGTTACTAGTGAATCCTTATTTACCACCACAAAGAGATTTTCAAGCTATATAAATCTGTTCGTTCATTGCCATGGGTATAGTCAAGTTAAACTTTACCATTTGGAAATTAAAGATTTTTTATTAACTGCCAGGCAGATATCGTAGCTTTACGCATGAAAGATCTCATGGAATCGCTGCTACGACTTTAGTAAAATTGGGCATTCCAAAGAAGAAGACTAACGCGTGTTTATACCCAATTCACAACTTTTTGTCAACATCAAATTGAGCGAAGCCAGATTCAGTCGATCATTATGTTAGATGAATTAACAGTAAGTTTCATTACCTCCTTTTCTTTTGGATTCCTGTAAAAGCATAAAAAAGGTTAATTTAAATTGCGATCTTCAATTGTATTTTGAATACAACTATGAACTAATGTACAGTGAATAATATGTAATAAACGTTTCCCTGTTGGTTATAGGCCGTTTGCCGTGACCCGATATCGTTCACTTTCATTAAGCATGTCGTGGAACTGAAATATTTTCACGGTAACTAACATTTTAGAACACGCTGAATTCAAATCCGAAAAGTTGCCGCTCCGTAGACCCGCAGTTTTTTCACAAATTGCATCTGTATTTTCAGTTCTTCGACGAACAAAAATAAACACGCGCCATTTTGAAATTAAATAACATCACTCAGAGTATGCCGTTTAACCCGTTTTTGCTCCCCAGTCTCCGATCCTCATGACCGAGTTAAGGTTTAGAGCAATGTTATTAAATTTGCTGCAAAACAAACACAGTCACGTGGTTTTAAAAATGGCTAGTCAGAGTGATTTTCAGTTTATTTGCCAGTCAAATCGCTAAAGAATGAGAAATAAAAGTTTAAATTCTTTATTTGGCAGAGAATAGCAATAAGGTAGGTGTTCTCTGTGTATATTTTTTGAGTTTGTTTAAGGCTAATGGTCTATAGTATAGAAGAACAAACAACTGAACAAGTGATTATTAAGTGAACAACCATCACGATTTATTCAGGTTTATTAATAGCTCTCAGACACATATAAGGCTAGCCTGCTTGAAAACTCACAGTAAAATTGTTCCATATCAAGTTTGCTGTTTATGGGAATTATTGTTGGTCATAAGGTGTAAAGTAATTTATAGAAACTGTTATTCAAATATATTCATTTACCACTCCATGAAATGTCAGAAATGTTGAAGGCCAACAAAACCATGAACATTTGCATAGTATACATGATTATTTATATCTGTATAACCTGCTGCTGACTTATTTATTCCATGTTTTATTGCATCTTCAAGATTTAGACTGTGCTAGAATATACAGTATACACACAAGAATATGTAATAGGATATACAAATAAGATTCTGCATGAATAGATTGGGTCTAAACTTATATTAAATATTTTTTATTCGTACGTGGCTTTCCCCATGCAGGGCAGAGTACACAAATCTGAGCGCGGCCTGTCATTGATCACATTTAGTTCAACTGCATAGTAGAGCACCATGTTAGTGACCTGGGTGTTTAACCTATTGCATGCATGAGCGCCAGCACTTTTCCACTTGACGAGTAAAATTGTCTGGCATTAGACAGAGTAGACTAATAAAGTAGGGTGCATTGGGGAGCAGGGTGCATTGGGGAGCAATGCAACTACTTTAAAGGGTTAAGATCCAAGCACAGCTGCCTGGGACTCATGTATTTTTCCTTATTTCAAACAGGTTATAAAACAAAACAAACTGCTTGTTTACTGTCAAGCTGGAAAAACCCAGCATAACAACATATAAAGTATTACTTTGCCAAATTGGGCAACAAAACATTTTATATGCTGTTGAATATATGTGGACACTTATAGGTGTGAACGATTAAAGTATTACTGTTCACATACACATATTGGCATCTTCATCTCCCCCATCAGTCACAGAGCTTTCGCCTAACCGATCTAGAAGCTTTTCAACAATTAAAAAATGCTGTTTTTGCATGTATCTTTGGGCAAGGCAGGTATTTGTATTTTTGCCCACACTGACCACAATAATTTGTTCCAGGATTGTAGATATTCTAATTTAGGGCTGCTTATATGAGCGACTACTGTAGATCTCAAAACCAGGCTGATCTCTGTCAGCAAAACATCTTTCCTTGTAATTGACGGAATTAATACAAGTTTAGACCCAATCATTTCATGCAGAATCGTATTTGTATATCCTATTACATATTCTTGTGTGTGTATATTCTAGCACATTCTAAATCTTGAAGATGCAATACAGTATGGAATAAATAAGTCAGCAGCAGGTTATGCAGATATAATAATCATTTATACTATGCAAATGTTCATGGTTTTGTTGGCCTTCTGGCCCTTCTTGACATTTCATGGGGTGATAAATCAATATTTGAATAACAGTTTCTATAAATTACTTTACACCTTATGACCAACAATAACTCCCATAAACAGCAGACTTGATATGGAACAATTTTACTGTGAGTTTTCAAGCAGACTGGCCTTAATTAATCCTTTCCTTATATGTGTCTAGCTATAAAAACCTGAATAAATCGTGATGGTTGTTCACTTTAATAATCACTTGTTTGTTCTTCTATAGGCCATTAGCCTTAAACAAACCCTACCTTATTGCTTTTCTCGGCCAAATAAAGAATTTAAACTTTTATTTCTCATTCTTTAGCGATTTTACTGGCAAATAAACTGAAAATCACTCTGACTAGCCATTTTTAAAACCACGTGACTGTGTTTGTTTTGCAGCAAATTTAATAACATTGCTCTAAATCTTAACTCGGTCATGAGCATCGGAGACTGGGGAGCAAAAACGGGTTAAACGGCATACTCTGAGTGATGTTATTTAATTTCAAAATGGCGCGTGTTTATTTTTGTTCGTCGAAGAACTGAAAATACAAATGCAATTTGTGAAAAAACTGCGGGTCTACGGAGCGGCAACTTTTCGGATTTGAATTCAGCGTGTTCTGAAATGTTAGTTACCGTGAAAATATTTCAGTTCCAAGACATGCTTAATGAAAATCGTTTTCTAGGCATATTTTTAGGTCACGGCAAACGGCCTATTAGTACATTTTTCAAATTGTGCTGTTATTTGACCAAAATAAGTTACAGGATCCTTTTGGAATAAATATATCTTATTGAATGGTTTGACATATAATCCGGCCGAGTAGTTTACGAGTTTTGAACGTAAAATGCGAGAAACGAGTAAAATTCTCGGCCGGAAAATACTGCCAAACCATTCAATAGGATTTATATTATATAACGTTTAGCGCTGTATAAAGGCAAATAATTTCAGATTTTCAGGTGCAATGAAAACAAACATCCTGAAACAGGTTCCGAAGTTGCATATCAAATTAGGAACAACTTAACACTGACGTCATCGTTCTTGAATTTGATTGGAAAAAACAGCAAAAGAATAAAGCGTCTATCAAAGCCCTAGCATGTAATTTCCTTGACTTTGACGACCGCCAACTAAATGTTGATCAGAAACGCATCAAAATCCTAAAAGATCTCAGGCAGAAATACGCTATCCTTCGGCCAGATAAAGGCAGAGGAGTTGTCATTCTAAAGAAACTGGATTACCAGTCGTGCATGACCGGACGCTTCGCTGACAAAACCAAATTTAAAAAACTTAAATCAGATCCTACCCTCACCCAATTAACGACCGTTCAAAACTACCTCCGAACCATTTATAATCGCGGTGAAATTAAAAGCGATGCATTTTCTGAAGTTCAACCTCAATCTACTAAACCAGCCCGCGCTCATGGCCTTCCTAAAACCCACAAGGACTTTGATACCTTGCCATCTTTCCGCCCTATCATCGACACCGCCGGTACTGCCTATCAAACCTATTGCCAAATACCTCACGAGATTGCTTAATCCGCTCACTATGAATTCACACACTTTGAAGGACATTTTTGAGGCTGTTTCTCTCGCATCCAAAACATTCCAGAAGAAGTATTCAAAGTGGCTATCGATTTGTCTCTTTTTTTATGTCAAATCACTTTTTACAAACGTCCCCCTCGAGAAAACCATCAACATAATCCTGGATAGAATTTACAGTAAGCAGCAAATCAACACCACATTAAAGAAACGGACACTAAAGAAACTCCTGTTCGACTCGTGCGCCAAGACCCCCTTTTCCATCAACGGCGAACTCTTCAAACAGATAGACGGTGTTACAATGGTTCTCCTTTTGGTCCTACTCTTGCCAATATCATCATGACTGCATTTGAAGAAGAAATTGTTCAGAAATTGATTGATTCAAACCTTATAACCTTTTATGGCTATCTTTCCAATAACTCGTTACTATTGAGGGTTTAGACCTAAACGCTCAACCCTGTCTGCGTTGATACACACGTGTGATAATTTACTTAAAAACATGGATAGTGGACAAATAAATTATATAGTCTTTCTTGATGTTAGCAAAGCCTTCGACTCCATAAATCACGAAGTTCTGATTGATAAAATGCGTAATTTTATCGGAGTAACAGGAAAAAAAAAAGCAGAGAAAGAGGCTCGACAACAACATCAGCAAGAAAATGAGAAAGAATTGACAGATAGACATAATTCGGACCAAAATGAGCTAAAAGTGGAAAGCTGTGGTGACTCCATGACAAAATATATTCAAGCGCATAAATTAGGACGCTCAACTAAGGATAGAGTCATATCAAAATAATTTAGCGGGGCGAAGTGTAAGGATATGAAGCATTATATTATGCCTACTTTAGAAAAGAAGCCTGACAAAATTATACTGCACGTCGGAACAAAGTAATGACCTAAAGATCAGCAGCGCAAAGACGGTTGTCAAAGATATTATGCACTAAAAGATTTTGTAGTGAAAACATCGCCTAATACCAAGGTAACTATATGATGAAACACTTAATGATAAAATTAAGCATATTAATACATTGCTGAGACAAAATTGTGCTGCTGACAATATATTATTATTAGACAATTCCGATATAAATAATGACTGTTTAATTCAGTCTGGTGTCCATTTGAACAAAAAAGGAACATCATTATTTGCTTTGAGTGTAATTAAAGGATTAGTGTCAGGGTCATGCATTGCGGGCTTTTGTTATTGTTTACATTTTACTCAAATACAACAAATAGCGATAAAAATACCTTGTTTGGTACATTTCTGATAAAAATAAGACAAAAAGAGCAAGGATTATAAAAGGATAGTTTAAATATATGACGGATTGTAAACACTTTCGATATCATCTATTCGTCCCGAAAAATGGCCGCCAGCCGGAGTTTGAGCCCGCGAATTCCTTGTGTAACACTAATCCTTTAAACATCTTTGGTACTCTTTATAACGATGCGATTCAGATCTTAGAAACCATGATGATAAAATAACAGTTAAAAATCGATCTCCAACTGTTAACGACTTAAAAGGTTTTGTAATGGCTCATTTAAATATGGCCTCTCTTCCCAAACATATTGATGAATTATGATTACAATTAACTAAACAAACACTAGATATTTTGAGTATCACACAATTCGAGACACAATTCGAGACACTTTAAAAATTATTTATAATGCACCTATTCTACCTCATTTTGACTACTGCTCCCTTGTTTGTTGTAATTGTTCAGAAACATTACAAAAACTTCAAAACAGGGCGGCACGGGTGATTACAGGTGATTTAATGCACCAATTCGTTAAGCAAATATTCTAAGACAATTAAGAAAACAACTATGACACACACAATGTTGTGGGAGAAGGGTTGTCGAGGAGAAATGCTCCGATTATACTTTAAACTGTGGCCAAAGTGTCGCCCCACAGACTCACTATTATAGCAATATGATTATGATATAATTATATGTCCTCAGGGGGTCGTGGTTCCCCCATTTTGGACTTTACCCAAGGGGTAGTAGATCCCGGAAATGGGCATCCTAAATGTCCAAGGGGTAGTAGATCCCCGTGATGGTCATTGTTTACTTTACAATACACTGTATAATACATTGATTTGTGTGAGTCTATGGGGTTGAGGGTGACCTTTGGGAGCACTCTATCCCCACAAAAACACAGCATGTGTATTCCCCATAGACGGAAAAAACCCAACTCCCACCACAACTGTAATCGTATAGAAGACAGCTTCTGACAGATGATTTTCGTGCTTTTCGAAGACATATCGTTTATATTTCTCTTTCGACACACTTTAAATAATTAATTAATTAAAAAATCATGTTATATGCAAATAATTTTTTTTTTAACTACAAAGTTGATCGTAAGACATATATTTGAGTATTACCATCACTCATACCACAGCTGGAACATCAGGGAGGCCAGGAAAACCTGCAATCTCTTGACAGGAAACCTGGATGGGAAAAAACCAAGACAACCAGTAGCTTCCCCACAAAGCTTCTACCTTACATGTGCTTGATTGGAGGGTTGGTAACACGACAAACAAAGCTCACCAACATTTTTTTACATTTTTTTTTCTTTACTATTTATTTATTTTTAATGTCAATGTGTTCGTTACCAATTTTGCTAACCCCACTTATTTTATTTGAATTATGATTGGTGGAACTTGACATAATATAATTCTCAAATTATGTGACTTTAATCTCAGAAAAATAGCTTGTTCCATATTTTAAAATACCACGATCGAAATGCAATTCAGGTGTTTATAACCACAGCCTTGTGATTGAACATGCAATCATGCATGCATGAGAATAGCAGAAATTGTAAGAATATGTATTTGGTAGACTAAAAAGATCATGCAGTATAGTAATAAGACATTAATGAATTTTCATGAGTAGCGACATACCACACACTGTACGTAGTACGTACCAATCTTTCATGACATCCAACTTGCCGATTTATCGCAAATGTAGATAAAGTAGATCCTAAATTTCTCTCACACATGAACTTGATTTCCGACGTTGCGCCCAGTAAAGTATTGATAATGTATACGGGCCAAATTAGTGTTTGTTTTATTAAAGAGTGCCCTGAAATAGCTAGAAAGGAAGTTTTATATAATCTACTTTTGAATGATTGAATACAGTTTAATGTGACGCTTTATTGAAACCCAATCCCCGAATCAGAGGCCCAATCTGGCCGGTTAATAACCTCAAGATGGTAATAAAATTGACATTGAACTGATAATTACTGTACCCGAATTCTGTGATAAAATAGATGAAGTTAAAGCCTTTTGGTTGGTTTGAAAAGCGAAATACGAAGCAAACGTGTGAATTCACCGCATACTTACGCACCAAATGCATGTGCATACATAAATACATATACAAATTATATCAAATGACGCTTGTTGAATTCGTGTTTAGCCTCTCGATCTTGTTATAATTCCCCCAGCGGCGGTTTCATTTAACTTCATCGGTTGAGCCAACGTATTCCTTTGTCCACCAGAAGGGTAAAAGCGCTTGACCACGGTAGAGTTATACTTGAATAGACTGCGTCTCACTGAATCACACATCGATACTTCAGCCAACGTATTCCTTTGTCCACCAAAAGAGTAAAAGCGCTTGCCCGCGGCAGAGCTATATTTGAATAAACATCGTCTCACTGAATCATACATCAATACATGAGCCAACGCATTCCTTTGTCCACCAGAAGAGTAAAAGCGGTTGCCCGCGGCAGAGTTATATTTGACTGATAAACTGCGTCTCACTGAATTATATATACATCAGTACTTGAGCCAACTTATTCCTTTGTCCACCAGAAGAGTAAAACCGCTTGCCCGCGGCAGAGCTATATTTCAATAAACTGCGTTTCACTGAATAATACTGTGTTACTGACCGTTGTTTTATATCCACGAAATATCTTTTCCAAAAGTATAATTTCGAAGTACTTTGCCGCAGAGGTCATACAATTTTGCTTGCAAGTGACACAATGAGGCTTACTGATCCAAGCAGAAAACTATGCAGACGAAGAGGTGAAACCTGATTGGTCTATTTTCCCGCACGCATGGGAAGAGATTTGACAATGGTTTGTTGTTAATTCAGCCTTGCACTTTGCACGTGTATGATCACACGGTTCACAGATTGACCTTTGTACTCCAGGAGACTTTGCACAACTTTACTCTTGTCCTAACGCTTGTTTCATTAACTTAAGTTTATAATACTATGGGCATGTATAAACTTGCTAATTACGACGTCCGATCAAAACAAATATTACTTAATTTATTTAGTGTCTCTTTATTATAAGAGATTTATATTTCAAACAGGAAATACAATAATCAATATGGCCGACTTATACGATCCATATTTATACCTAACTATCCATACCAATCTATTATGCATATATTAAATATACATTATCTCTAAACACTATATCCCTTTTTTTCTTCTATTTTTTTTTAATTAAAAACGTTAAGTGTATCTAACTGTTCGCAAAAGACAATGTTTTAGAACAATAGTTTTTAACTTCTAATTGATAATCTTAATGTCTAATATATACTGTTTGTACTTATCGTTACGACGCCACTTCATAAATCAAGTCTCTCTGGAGCTCTTCCTTTTGTACTTCTGGATGAACGTCTTGGTTCAGCAACGACCAACGAATTATCTATCACTTGTTCATTAGTGTTCGGTTCTTTGGAATATTCTGAGTTGTCAATATATTCATTTCCCGATGGTAAATCTGATTCTTCAAATTTTCTGACATGTGAAGAACTGCGCTTATAGCAAACACCTTCACCTGATTTGATCGTCACTTGTGAACCATTGACATCAACAATCTCGTAAGGATCATGTTCATACATAGTTGTTGTCTTACACATTTTATGCTGCTGTAGTAAAACTTTATCATTAACTTTGAGGTCAGGATATCTTCTTGTCATCCGCATATTCCTTTCCTTTCTGTTTGAGAACTGCATCCCTATCACGTCCTTCTTCATCACATTTATCAAAAGGAACCAATTCAGGTATCTTTGTGCGAAGACGTCTCTTGAATAACATCTCATCTGGGGCTTTTCCAGTAGTCCCGTGAGGTGTTGTACGATACGCTGTTAGGAATTTGTTAAGTTCCTCCTCTAAATTTCCTCCTTGCGCATAGGAACTTTTAATTACTTTGTTTAGATTTCTCATCTGTCTTTCGATTTCAGCATTTACTTGTGGCCATACCCTGGATCTTATTATCACACGCAAAATGGAGTCACTCATTGGGTCACCACCACGTAGCTGCCACTACTTTTCTGATCATGCAGCTGTTCATAGCAGTATTCGGGTAGAGAAGCTTGTGACCAAAGCTAAAAAAGTCACTTACAGGAAAACTAAGAATGTGGATCTGCAATGCCTTAGACAAGATTTAGCAGTGTCCGATTTGTGAACGCAGGAACACGGCGAGCACTTAATAACTAATCATGAAGGCCTTGATAAGCTTGTCTGTAGCTACAATACCGTTCTCAGCAGCATAACTAATAGTCATGCACCCCTCATAACGAAAGTTGTAAGATCAAGGCCACAAGTGCCCTGGTACAATCAAGAGATAGCTGAAGCAAAGAGAAAGAGACGTAGGGCTGAGCGAGTCTGGAGGAGATCAGGGTCTGCTGAAGACCTATTGGTGTTTAAACGATTAAAAAACCATGTAACATACATCAGTAATAAGGCGCGCAAGCAATTTTATGTGAACTTCATAAACGAACAGGATGGCGATCAGCGCAAACTTTTTAAGGCAACTAAAGCACTGCTCTTGCCAAAAAGTGATTTATTCTTTCCTGACTATCATAATAACACCGCTCTTGCAAATCATATCGGAAGCTATTTTCATCGTAAGGTAATTAATATTCGCGAAGAGCTTGATGTTGCTCACGCTAGTCACGACGAGCGTGTTAGGGTGATTGATGATCCTGAGTTTAATACTGAACATGATCGATTATCTAACTTTAAGGAACTCACCCAGGAAGATGTACACCAACTTATTAGAGCTTCAACCAAGAAAACGTGCATGCTTGATCCTATGCCCACTTCTCTGTTAACAAATTGCCTCGAGGAAATTCTTCCAGTTATCACATCTATGATCAATTCTTCTCTGTCCCTTGGATATGTTCCAACTGAGTGGAAAGCTGCTCTGGTCGACCCACGGCTAAAGAAACCTGGCTATAATGTCTCTTTTCCAAATTTACGACCAGTGTCTAACCTACAATTTGTGGCTAAATTGACAGAAAATGTGGTTTGCAACCAAACTCAAGATCATATATTGCAGTCGGACTTATATCCGGTGCTCCAGTCAGCTTATCGGACAGGTCACAGCACTGAAACAGCTCTTCTGAAAGTCCACAATGACATCTTGTTAAATATGAACAATCAGAAGGTTACTCTACTTGTACTGCTTGACTTCAGCTCAGCGTTTGACACAGTGGATCATCAAGTCCTTCTTCGTCGTCTTCGAGTAACGTTTGGAATAACGGGTGATGCGCTTGAATGGTTTCGGTCTTATTTATCTGGCAGATCACAGCGAGTAGTAATAAATGGAAGCCATTCAAGGGAATTTCCTCTGATGTATGGTGTCCCTCAGGGCTCCTGCTTAGGGCCACTACTGTTTATAGTATATTCTAGTAAGCTATTTGAAGTCATAAAGAACCACCTTCCTGACGCCCATGCTTATGCTGACGATACTCAGCTGTACATCTCATTTAAGCCTGATTCTACTGCTAGTGAATTAGAAGCAGTAACTTCATTGCAAAACTGCATAGCTGATATTAAGACATGGATGACCGTGGACAAACTCAAGCTGAATGATGATAAAACTGAATTTATTATAACTGGAACTCGTGCACAACTGAATAAGATAAAGATAACAGAGTTAAGAATTGGTCAGGTAATGGTGTCGTCAATATCCGATGCTCGAAATCTTGGATCCTGGTTTGATAACATTTTGAGTATGAAAACGGCAATTAATAAGACCTGTCAATCTGTGATTTATCACTTACATAATGTCAGGCGAATAAAGAGATTTTTATGCTTTGAAGACAGAAAGACGATTGTTCAGGCCATGGTCATGTCAAGAATAGACTACTGTAATAGCTTACTATTCGGTGTTTCGTCCACGCATCTTATGAAGCTTCAACGAGTGCAGAATGCTGCAGCCCGCTTGGTGTGCTCAGTTCCAAAACATGAACATATCACACCGTCGTTAATCAGATTACACTGGCTACCAGTTAAATTTAGAATAAATTTTAAAATTGCAATGCTCACATTCAAATGTATAAACAAAACTGCTCCCGAATATCTAAGCAGTTTAGTGACCATCAAGAAGACACCTCGTTACAACCTTAGATCAAATACAGGAAAGTTACTACAAGATAACACTGCTCGGTCGAAAAAGACATTAGGAGACAGGGCATTTTCTAATGCCTCAGCAATAGTATGGAACAGTCTTCCTGTTTTTACAAGAAGTCAGGAAAATTTTAGTACTTTTAAGTCACTTCTCAAAACACACTATTTCAGGGAAGCTTTTAATGTATAAATAAATTTTAGAACTTGAGCGGTAACTGTTTTTGTAAATATTCTAAATTTTATTTATTTATATTTTTAAATCTATAGCTAGTTTAAGTAGTTTGTAAAGCGCATATTAAATAAATATAAATTCACACCAATTATAAATAGGTACACATTTACTACAAATAGTAACAAAGAATATTCATTCATTTCGTTATAGATATATAAGAAATAAAAAAAAATCATTTTAATGTATAAGGTAATTATTTATTTTATAATAAATATTTTTTTAATTTTCTTTTAAAAGAAACAAAAGAAGTAATATTAATAATATCAATAGGTAGTGAGTTAAAAAACTTTGGACCCTGAAATCTTACAGAAAATTGTCGGATATTTGTACGACACAATGGAGTTCTAATGGCCATCGCACTCCTTGTATTATATGAGTGGACTTGATAATTTGATAGAAACATGTCATTAAATTTATTTGGTAAAAGACCACTGCGATAAGAGTACATAAATTTACCCAGTTGAAATAGAAGAATATCATTAACTTTAAGGACTGAACAGTTCTTAAATAAAGGTTCTGTATGTGCATCAAATTTACATTTATTTAGAATTCTAATTGCTCGCTTTTGCAGTATATTGATACGATGAAGATTATTTGGATACGTTGAAGCCCAAACAATATTACAATATTGGATATATGGGTAAACAATTGAATAGTACAAAGTGAGTAAGGATTTCTTAAGTAGCTAGATAAAAACTGGCTCTTAGACATTTTACGTGCTACATACGAAATGTGTGATTTCCAAGATAATTCCTCATCCAATACTACCCCTAAAAAGACAGTTTCTTTCACTTGCTCAATATATTCATTATTAATGATTATTTGAAAAGTATAATTATATTTCTTTTGTCTTGGTTTAAATACAATAAATTTTGTTTTTTCTAAGTTGAATGAAAGCTTACTTGATTTAAACCAGTCTGACAATTTTCTAATTTTAATATTCAAAATATTAGTTAATTCTATTGGGTCTTTATTCGAAATAAATAAGTTTGTATCATCCGCAAATAAGATAAGCTCCAATATACTTGACACATGGATTATATCATTGATATATATTAAAAAGAGCAGCGGACCAAGGATAGAACCTTGTGGGACCCCACATTGTATTTTATTAGGACAGGAACAGTAATCATTAAATTGAACGAATTGTGTTCTATTTGATGGTCAAGTAATGGTCAAGCTTATCAAAAAGAATATTGTGGTCTAAAGTGTCAAAGGCTTTAGATAAGTCTAAAAATACACCAACTGCAAACTGTTTTTGATCAATTGCTAGTGATATTTTATCATAAAGATCCACCAGGGCTAAAGAAGTGGAATGGTTTTTTCTAAAACCATATTGGTTTTCAGACAAGATACTATTTTTATTTAGGTAATTTAACATCCGGTTATATATAACTCTTTCCAGAAATTTCGAGAAACAAGGAAGAATAGAAATTGGTCTATAATTTGTAAATAATGTTCTATCACCTGATTTAAACAGGGGAATAACACGAGCTATCTTCATTTCATTTGGCACAATACCATGAGTAATTGATAAGTTGATAATATGAGTTAGAGGTTTAGCAATTATGTTTATAGTTTGCTTTATTATTAACTTGGGAAGTTTGTCATATCCAAATGTTTTGTTTGATTGAAAACTTTTAGAAATCTCAATGATTTCATTTTCTGTTGCCGGGTTAAAAAATATGGAATTAGGATATTGGCCTACAAGAGAATTTAGATGAGAGTTAGGAGTAGATTGT